TCCAGGTCTATGGAGATTAACAGCTTGCACATTAATTCAAAGCACCAACAGCCCACCTAACCTAATGCTGTCTTAAATGAATTAAAAACCCTGTTTAAGAAACTTTAATATACTCCAAATGAAGGAAATGTGCATCTGTGCTGTATTCCGTGTTTTGAAACCAACTTCACTTTGCTTGCTTTGCTTAAACAGACAGATGCAAGGGAAGAATTCCCTTCTATTGGCCCATTACTTCTATTTAAAAGGATGCTTCTTCTAAGCTAAAGCCTGGAAGTAATTGTAAAGTGCTGGGCAAGGAGGGAAGCAGAATAATGAGTAGGAAGACTGTGTTCAGCTTAAGGGGAAAAAGTTCAGTTCCAATGCATTGTCCCTTTTTATTTTTTGACATTAAATGAATGCCTTTAAACACACTGACATTTTGTAATATTACAAAATAGATGTGGAGTATTGAACAATCAATACAAATAGACCCTCTATAAAAAAAAAGGCAAGGAAGCATATCACTGAACATTCCAGAAACACTGACAGTTTGAGGGACCAGAAAATGTTAGAGTATTACAATAACTTTACAGCTGGTTTCCCTATTTCTGGTTCTGTTAGCTCCATCTTCTCAAAGTAGAGTAAAGACCACATAAATCCCTTGCTTGGAACCCTTCCAGAATTTCTTGTTGCCTACCCATTGAAATGCAGACCTCTTGACTAGTACCCCACTCTAGCATACTCCACAATACATCACCATTTCTCATTTCTGCACACGTCTCCCTTTCGGCTCACATGGCATAGAGATACAGGCAGACCAGAGTACCAGTTTCTAGCAAACATTGCACAATTTTTGCTTTCTGTTCACCTCTACTTCTTCTACCATGGAATCATTCATTTCTCACAAATAGCTACAAATTTCAGTGTTAATTAAGGCATTTGTTTATGTAAAGTGAGGATGGATGGGAGCCTGCCTGCCCTCATGTCTAATAGAGTCAATCATAGGGGTACTTTCAAACAGATGTGAAGGAGCATAGAGCTACAGTTTCTGATGAGAATCCAGAAGAATGATTTCTAAATCAGAGGAGGTAAATGTTGAAAATCTAAAGCAAATTAGCCTACACTAAAGGAGGGGGTGCGTTAGTGGCACACACCTTTAATCTCAGGACTTGGGAGGCAGAAGCAGGCAGATCTCTGTGAGTTCAAGGCCAGCCTGGTCTACACAGGGAGTTCCAGGACAGTTCAGAGAAACAGTTCAGAGAAAACCTGTCTCCAAAAACCAAAATGGAGGGGGGAGGAATTAACCCAATCAGAAGACATAAGACAGGAGAGGGACGGGATAATATGTGCTAACCACAGTGGTTTATGCTTTGGAAGATAAATGAGACCACTAAGTCCAGAGAAACTGTTCCCTCCAAGAACACGAAGCAAAGCAAAACTCCTGTTTTTTTTCTGTGCAGAATCTTTTATAAATGAACGTCCAACTTATACTTTGAGTTATATTTATCTGACTTTATCCATAAAATGTTAACATCAGTTTAGTTTATATGTTCTGCAATTTTTAGCACTGTATCTTTAGCCATGTTAAGTATAAACACAGAGGTTGCAAGCAAACATATGGATACTTCAAATATATGTGAATGAAAAACTGAAAAAACATATTCTCATGTGTTGTCTGAAGAATATATCTCTCCATAACTAAAAGAGTACTTCAAGTGAATATCACCCCAGCATGGGCTGGGTCAGTAGAAGTCTACATGAAATATCCTAGCCCTGTTTGACAGTGTCTGCATTCAAGTGTAATTCTGAACAATTTCAGTAATTTTACTCAATAAAGGCAAGGTCTACGCAGGCTTCTCATGGGAGGTGGGGGTTGCATTAAAAAAACTTCTGAATCACCTTAGCTGGATTCAAGTGCAGACAATGATCCTTTAAATAATCTTCAATTTTAAGGATGCATCAAAAATTATTGCATGACAATTTTCATTCCTGGAGGATTTGCTTAAAATAAAATAAGATTGCCTGACTTTTAGTGAGTGGCTACCAAACAGTTTAGAAGAAGACTTGTTTATTTTATGAAAATATGTTAAACTTAAATTTCAAATTAAAATATAGTAGTTAAAAATCAAATTATGTATAACATTTTATGATAATTGTATACAGTAGCCCACCATGCTGTCTTTTCTGTAAAGTATCCAATGTTTGTTTCCTTCTTCCTGCCTGTGTCTGAGGTCATCTTGCTTTTCTCTCTGTGACATGAATACCCATCCTATGTCTTCCCTTGCTTAGACCTCCCTTAGTCTAGTGAGGGTCAGGAGACAGTCATCTGCAGAATCACATTCAGGTACCTCCTTCATTATTGTCTTACTTTCCACTTTTGTTATTGCTTATACTATCTTGGGGATGGTGATGAGGTAGAGCAGAGCTCTTTTGCAGCTTGAAAAATATACCCATATGTACTGACATATATGGTAGGTCCCTTACCGATTCTCAAGGAGAACAATAGTCAGACCCTGTTCTTCTGATTTGTCTTAAAAAGCCCTAGCCAGGATGTACCACATAGAAATGCAACTTGTTCAAATACAATTGTTTATGTTTTAATGTCTCTATAGTTTAAAAAGTCAAGATGAAATGCAAAGTGTCAGGAGTACAACAGGAAAAATAAATCATTGGTTCTTCCTGTATTAGCCGTTTCCTTGATTAAAAGATCAATCCATGTTTAATTTCTAATTCTCATGTTTTGCAGGGAAAGTTATATAATACATTATAGAAAAGGATATCAGTTGCTGCCAGACAAGATACGCAGGTTTAATGATGAATAAGGATAGAATAGGATGGCTACTACAATGCTATTTATTCTTAGCACACACCTCAAGAGAGTGTCACAAAAAATATATATACAAGGCGGGCAAAGCCATAAAACCCATGTGAAAAACATTTTTTTTATTTTACATCAAGTAATTGTAGAAAAGCAACTTTTGCTTATATCTAGAAGTGAAAGTTAGAAATCAGTCAGTACAAGTTCCCTGTGGGTTTTTGTTATCTATGTGACTCTACAACGAGTATGTTTTTTTGTGAGACCCTTTTCCTCTAGGTTATGTTAGATTTTTGGACAATGAAAAACTCTGTAAATATTGAAGAGTTTTCCTTTTTGTAACTTCACAGTTAAATTATATTCACTGGTAGGTTGAACAATGGATTTAATAATATTTCAATGAATACATAAGGAAATTGAAGAAAATTCTAGCTATTATCTGTTAATGAACTTTTCCTCACCATACATTTCCCTTTCCCCTTTAAAGGCTAAGGACTATTTTGTTTTAGATTACTCTAGCAAATTGCTTTAAGCCTGTCATTGCAATGCATTGTATTTGTGTTCACTGTTTGGTGATATGTATGTATGTATGTATTCATGTGTGTGTGTGTGTGTGTGTGTGTGTGTGTGTGTATTCTGAGCTAGACCAGGCACTCTAATTTCAGTCCTTGGAATTTAGTGTTGGAGGTTGATTAGATCTTAGATCTTATTAACAATTGGTTTCAGCAGACAAGGAAAGAGCAATCCACCTATCTGGCACACAAAGCATCTATATATGTACAAGAGACTTCTGTGTGTCACCCCACGAATGGGTAATAAACGAAATTAAGAGTTATTTGAAGATTATAAAACAATCATCTGCACATTCTCCAACAGTGACCCACAGATACTTTCCTACATTTATTTCTTTGTATCCTTTTAAATTTTGTCTTCTAAAATGTAAAGAGAAGCATCTCAGTGTTCTCTGCCGCCTCAGAATAAAGTTTTATGCTTTATTTACAATTTTAGGAAGGTCAAAATCAACTCCAAATAGAAATTTCATTCCTTGCAAATATTTTTGCAGCCACTCTTTCTGCTTTCAAATTGTCATCTACTCAGGGTTAACCATTTGATTTTTTATTGTGATAAATGTATCTATTGAGATGCAAGAAAATCTCAAATGAAGAATGAAATTAATTTCTAAGTATATATTTGGCCTTTTATGAAAGCAGCCATTCAGTCTGGTAAAGCCCCAGCGAGAAGCTGACGGAGTAGTGAACACTTAGGAAGGGCATTCGCCCTAAACAAGTGCATTTTCAGCTCCAACCTTCAAAGGTAACATTTTCAGCTAGATGGCCTCCTGGTCGAATGTATAATTTGCCTTTTTCATTCTTAGTTTAGTTGAAATATAGAGGACTGGATGTCCACCAGGCCAAAGTATAAACTCACCATTTATCTATTAAAGCCATATTTAATGAAAATGAAGAGAAATTATTACCCAACTCTCTTTTTCTCTCATTACAATTCCTTAAGAACTTTGCCGGGCACATTATCTCGTAGACATCATGATCAAATGTTATTGTTTGCTTTATTATCTCAGTTGGATGGTTGGCTAGTCTAGGATGAAATAGGTTGAAGGCAATCCTCTCAGCCTAGAAGTCTGAATGAGGTTCCCATTCAAATGATCCTGATTGTTTGGGGGTGGGGCGGGGTGATTAGTAAACCAACTGAGCTTACACTGCATAGTAAGCGTCTGGATGCAGCACATTTACATCTAACAAGAGACCCCAGAAAACGTGTGTGTGTTTCTTAAACCTTATGTTGCGAACAAAAGGCTATCTCAGCCACAGACAATCAGCACGGCACTGCTCCCTGGGATGCGAGCCACACACTCAACTGCACATTTCATTCTTCCTCAGCTCCCAGCACCACAAAGCCCCGACTCTCTTCCTTCTCCTGGGTCCCTAGATTGCTCCATAGCGGGGGGCTGGGAAAGCTGAAACCCCAGGTCTCTGCCTGAGTACTAGCAGCTCGCACCGAGGGCCCCCCGGGCGCTGTTTTCCCCTGCCCGAGCCGCCTGGGGGAGGTAGGGAGGGGAGCCAGGGAGCTCGAGAGGGGACCGCACACCTAGACACTTAGGGTTTTATTTATTCGCGGGGAGGCAGCTGCGAAGAAGTGGGTTCAAGCTGCTGTGCCTCCCCAACTTGCCTCTGCCTAGCAGATAAAGTCATTTTCTGGCTGCTGCGGGGGGCCTCGGGGACCAGGGCGCTGGGGTGGTCCCGGCTCCGCGTCCCGTCCCGTGCGCGCAGCGGAGGAGGGAGGGCTGGCCCGGTCCCGGCGGTGACCGGAGGCCCTGGGAGGGGCCCTCGGGGGCGCGCGATCGCGCGTGGACACCCAGGCCCGCTTCTCCCGGGGGCGTCGCTCCCCGCGCGCGGGCTGGGCCGAGCTCCGCGTCCCCGAGCGCCGGCATGACCCCGGGGCCCCCTCCGGGCCGCGGGAGCGCGGTTGTGAGGCTGGGCGGCCGCCGAGGCCCGGGCCGTGTAACATGACCCGGCGGCCGGCCATTGCGCCCTCCCTGCCCGCGGCCGGGCGCCGCTCGCCGCCTCCCGCCTCCGCTCCCCCTGCAGCCCTGGCCCGCGCTGCCGCTCCCTCCCGGGGCTCCCGGACCGCCGCGCTCCAACGCCCGCCTCTCGCCACTGCCTCCCGACGCCCGGCCGCGCGGCCGCCTGCGTCTCTTTCTCCCTCTCTCCTTTGAAAACTGATCTTTGGCTCTTAGTGTGAAAGTGATTTGAATTTGGCTCGGCGGCGCTCTGCGCCTGCGCTCAGCCTCTGGCATGCTGGCTCCTTCCAAGCAGCTGTTTTGGGTTTGAAATTCCAACATGGCAGAGGCTGCAGTCCGTCTTCCCTTCAAAAACTTGGAATGATTTCAAATCATAGGCACCTTCACTTAACCCTAGCTTCCATTCATCAGCAAACACATCGGATCGATGCTACGCTAACCTATCGGGAGCTCGCTCCGCGCGTCCAGGTAAGGAGAGCTTCGTAGTTTTCTACCATCTGTTTAAATTTTTTGTTTTTGTTTTATTTTTAAAGAATATAGATAGATCCAAGACCTGTAGTGAGAAGAGGTCTCTGAGTTGTGCCGTAAACAGTAAATTTAATTTGCATTCGTTTCTATTCTGTACGCCAACCTGCTGTCTAATTTCTCCTTACAAAGTAGCCCTGAAACATTATGATGCATATTTCTGCAGCTTAATCATGGTAACAATAGTATGGGATTAAGAGTTCGTGACTGCAAGAATCTCGCTTTTCGCGATATTGGGCTTACTTACTACTATTTTTTTTTTACTTCAAAAAATAAAAAAATAAGAAAGCGGAGCCATAGGGTGGGGCTAGACTTTCTTCGGGAACTAACTTCTAAGTAAATACGAAGTGTAAATAAGAATCTTGCACACACACAAAAAGTTGAGGTTAAATTACAATCTCGTGGCTGGGGGAATCGAGAAAAATGTCAGAGGATCGGTTGCAGAAAAATGTAAGCACATCATCCGGGAGGGGGTACAGCGTGGTGGGCGTATTGTTGGCAAGGAACGGGAGAGAAAGATGTATAATTTAATGGTATATACAATCCACTGATCCTATTACCGTCCTCCCCGGAGCTCTTGTTAGTTTCAATGGGAGTGAGTGAAATTGACATGGACTTGCATTCCTGGTCATGTGCTTTTTTTCCTCTCTTTCTTCTCCTGTGATCTGAGATCCCCTTTTTGTTGATGTTGCTTTCCCCCTTAATTATATGCATGTAGGTTAAATGAATACCTGACGAAAGGGCCCACGTTTCAAGGCAGTGACATTTGATAGCTGAGAGGAAAAGTGGCTTTAATGAAAAGCAACCTTTGGAATTCCTGCTTGTGAGAAATCCAATTCAGCTTTTTGTGCTACCAGCAAGAAATGATCAGTAGCACCAGTGTTTATGGTATGTCAGTTTTGGAATTTACTTCCTTTGCATTTAAATAGGGAAGGCACATTAAGTAGCATGATAAAACCATTGGAGACTGCTTGGGAATCAGATGCTCACGATGTACTGTTCTTTTTAAATATGTGTATATCTGTTTATTTTAATCTGTCACTGTGCTTTTTTTGCATTTGCTATCACTTGTTTATGTGTTTTAGTTTTGATTAATACATTACTTTCGGACAGGATACTTTCAATGGTTTTAGCTCTAATCTTAAAGTTGCATGTTTCTGGCAATGCTCTCTATAGAGCTGAAGTCAAATGGTATGTAAATTAGTTTAACTGAGGGTGGGATTTTTTGGTGTTGTTTTTGGGTGGGGGGGCAGCTGGATGGAGAGTGTGGGGCAAAGATTGCTAACTAATGAGTGTGTGTGTGTGTGTGTGTGTGTGTGTGTGTACACAGGACTGGATGGAATTTTCTTTTTCTTTTTTCTCAACCTATTAATGGAATTTGACTGCCTGCTCTCTTGATTGCACTTTATGGAGTAATCTAATCGGTTCTGCTGCATGGACCCCCCCTTCCCTTTGGATGAATGAGTGAAGGTGTATCTTTTAAATGAAAAATAAGATACGTAAGTGCATATATTTTGATTACTCAAGTCTTTAATGCCTTATAAGAAACAGTGGCAGTTTATTTTTCTCATCTTGCCATTCACTTGTCTGTCTGTCAGCACTTTTTACTTCTAACCTGTGACAGAATTAAATAATCAGGCACTGGATTGACTTTACATGAAATCACTCTTTCCTCTGTCTTAAAAAAAATAAAGTCAGTTAAATAGAGTGAGAGGGATTTTTCAATAGCTCTCATGGCTGTACTGTGTATATACTTAGTGATATTCAATTAAGACTAAAAGGGGGCAACAACAAAAAGATGGAAAGTACTTTGCATGACCAAAGAAGATGTGCACTTTAAACTGATTTTTTTTTTTGTTGCTGTTGTTACATTTACCCCATGCCATGGATTTCTCTTCAAAAGTATGAAAGGAGGGCAAGAAATAAAAGAAAGAAATGAGAGGGGCAAAGCTGCCAGGCATCTGTAGTGTGGCCACTGCTTTCTCACAACACAAATGAGAATACTAGGAAAGGGACTTCAGCACTCGCAGCGCGGCAGGCACTTCTGCCTGGGCTCTGCTGACTATAGGACAAAACACACCCCACACTTGCAGGATAGGAAGGATTTGATTGGATTTTGCATTTGGAACTTGTTGACTTTGAATCGATCAATAAGAAGACTGTTTATTTTAGATGCACATAATTTGCCCTGAGAAATGTTTTAAGGAGGAGAGAGCACAGCTTTTTTTTTTCCCCTGGAGCTGTTGGAGCGAATGGGATTGCCAGATGGGCGATTTCCCTCTGTGATGTTAAAGCTGTAATATATATTCAGAGCAGATTGGGCTGCTGCCTGTGATCAGGAGGATATTACATTTATAAATTTTAAATCGGAGCTCGGACAATGTGCTGAGAGCAGAAATTGGATGGTTTGACTGTTCACCGTATTGATACTTAAACATGGTTTCTGGATAGTAGTAGTACTCATTATTGCAATAATAAGTATAAGCACGCACTGGCAACAATACCATTGAAGGCACGTAATAGCAAATTTTAGTATGTAAATTGCTCTGAGACTACACTTTGCTTACTATTAAGTAATAGTCAGATAATTTATTTCTCCTTGTGTTTAAATGTCGGGTGTGCAAATGATGTCCAAATGTCATTGGAATCTGGTAGTGTGTGGGTGTGTGTACAACGTATACATATATATACATATATATACATGTGTATAGAAAGTAGACACATGCATATATGCATTTATGGGCCCTAGTGGCTTCTATTTTTCTATCACTTGGATTGTTTTTAGATTTTGTTTATCTCTAACGTGTGGCCTAAAGGAACCAGAGCCACAAACCTAAAAGGCTACAAAGTGGGCAAGTGCCTACACTCAGCAGCTCTGCTGTTGCAAATTAAAAGTGTGTTGTGGTCAGGAAATGAAAGCTACAATGTCTCTTTTGAACAAGTCGTTTATCAAGAGAAACATCTATCAGGCACTGCCTTGTCACATTGATCCTCTGGAAGTTAGGTCCGAGGTGGGAGCTCCTTTGATGCTTTTGATCCTAAATTTAATACAACGGGGAGAAAAAACAAGGATATTTTGACCAATATAGATTTTTAAAAAATTGTTTCCTGGAACCAACAAGATCTATTTGTTAGACTGTACTATGTGTGAAGTTTTCTAGCCATCACAGTTGGTAAAAGGCTTCAGGGGAAACCTCAGGCTTTCTCAATGAATGGTTGTTCAACCACACATTTATAACACCTTCAGTTATGAGCAGCTTCTTGATTAATATGGACATTTTGAAAAGAGATTGCTTGCAACGAAAGTTATTTTGCAAGCTTGTTTGGAAAGACATTGAGAGTCAGTACTTTTCATTCATTTAAATATTGAGTTCTTTTCTTTATTCTTTTACTCGGTGTGCTTTTCATTGTAATTGCGACATATTAACTTTTATTTGGCAAAGTACTCATTTTTATCTCCTTTCAACTCTGTTTCCAAACATGCATGCATGTTCCATTACTACTGTTTATTAATTTTGCATGTGGTTGGTTATCAGTATGAAACTATACAGACTTAAAAGTCCTTTAGAGTCTCAGTTTGAAAATAGGGGTGCCACTTAAGTGTGGCACATTTTCCTGAATACAGTGCATGAATTATTTAAAATTTAAAAACATTGTTAAAATGATGACCCAGCTTTTTTTCCCAAAAAACTATTTTGTAAAGACAGCTAAAAGAGGTTTGCTTTCTTTTTCTTTTTCTTTTTTTATAAGCAAAGATGGAAACATATTTCTTTGAGGTAGAGTTTTTGGATACCTGCCTTACAGTGCTGGTGGTCACTTGTTCTCTCGTGCACTCTATTAAAAAAAAGCAGGCGAGAGTGTGGTGGGAGTTTTGAGGAGTGTAATACTTGCTAATTAATCATGTCTGAAATGAAAGAATCATAGCAGGGTAATACAATCTCATTGTTGTTTTCCTGGAAGAGGGTGAGACTTTTGTTTGGAAGCTGTACATGTGAGTAGACTCGCTTTGCTTTTCTCCTAAATAGGGTCTTTTGGAATTACTTCACTAAACATTAAAACATATTTTATTTTTTCTTCTCACACTGAATCTGTGACGTTCTGGAAACAGCATCTAATCGTTGCTCTAGGTACAAACAGAATTTCTTCCTTTCCTTCTTTCTTTTTTTAAGTTATATTCAAGACTCCCGCAGTTGAGCTTTTAGCAGAAAATCTTTCTTGTCGTTGTTGTTGTTGTGAGGAACTTTGGCCAGCATTTTGTAGGCTGGTGCGTCTGATAGGCATGCAAGAGAGTAGAAATTTCATTAATTATCTCCAGCTAATAGAAGCATGTGCTCAGAGCAGAAGAGCTGCAGCTTCTGGAGGACTCCACAGAGACAATCTGAGGTACTATCTGCTCCTTCTAACATAGTTTAGAGATTCACCCTCCTGAAAGAAGTGCATCATTTCCTTACTGGTAAATTGTTTTGTTCCCCGAGCTCCAGGCTGTCGTGCTTTGGATGTCACTAGCTTGCTCAGGTTATCTGGAGAGGCAGAGGCTGAAAGTTTGCAGTGGGTTTCAGGATTGCCATTTCCAGGTGACGGTGGAACTCTGAACTCCCTGTTTCTGTCAGTGTTTTTGGAAGCCTAATGATTGCCTAATTAAGTAATCAGTTTTAATTGTCCCAAATCAGCAGAATTATTAGGTGTATTTGAAACAATTGCAGGCCTTTTTTGTTTGGAACTTTCTAGTTGTTCTTAGAGCCTTTCTTTTACAGGAATGCCTGCAGCTTTTACCTTTGATCGATAGACTCCTCTGCCTGAATTCCATATAGCACTTTATAAAGTGCCACAGGCATTGTTGTGGAGATAATACATTTAATTACCAATAATTTAAATTGATTTATATATTTTTGGTAACAAAATTTGTTGCAGACATTTGTGGAAATATTGGCCATTACTATTGGAGAAGGTTTCACTAATTACTATATTAGCTGTTGTTTGAGTTATCCATAAATTAGAATAAGTAAATAGATCAGTAGAGCATGCAATTAAACATGTTGCATGATTCTTTCTATAGAGATATATAGAAGCTAATATTCTATTGTCATTTGTACTTAGCTATTTCTTTCCTGGGAAGACTGCAGTTCAAAAATTGATAACTTATGAACACACAGGCATATACTTCTTTTCCTTATAAAGAATACAATTAAATGGTATCCTCAGTAAATGTTTTCATGGTTGAATTTTATTTGTCTTCTTTTTCTCTCCTGTTTTTTCTTAATCTTATTTCATTTTTTTACCCTTTTTTTCCATTTAAGTTTCTGTAGAAAATTCAAGCATAGTCTCTATGACAGGAATGCTGACTGCTAATTCTTGTTTTTGCTGTTGCCATTTAAATAACTGTAAGCTGTTTACTAAAAGACCCCTAGTGAAAAATAAGAATAGAATAAAAAGTGACAATAAGGAGTTGTCAGAGCATGCTAAAGACGGATGGTACTTGTAGACTTACAGCAAATCGAAAGCAGGTGGGTATGCTAGGTTCTTTAGGCGAAAACCACAGGTGCCTGCCCAGCCCTGGCATGCCCCTTGGATACCTGTTGACTAGTGGTCACTCCAACTGAGGGGGCAGAACAGACAACTGATCTGAAGCCATCAAACACTAGATATCATCTGGCATGCTCTGTGAATAATATTTACATATTTCATGCATCAAATCTGCTTGTTGTCCTGTTGCTGGAATATTGACACTTTGTTTCTTGTTGCATGTGATTAACTGTTGGGGAAGTGCTTCTCAGAGGCACTCCAAAGGGTAATTTCAGTTCTTATGGATCCCTGTCAACTGATGGATAAACGGATGTGCTCGCTCGTATTTTAGCATTTGCACTATCTCTCCTTCTAATCACACTTTA